ATACAGTAGAGCGTCGTTTATCCGAATCAATTGGGGACTGGGGTGGTTCGGATAACTTATTTTTCGGATAACGAATCATGTACGAAAAAATATATTAATTTATCCCATGTTGAAATTACTCTCCGTTGCGTGTCGCTTCGCATTGAATTTTCGTCGATGTTAAGCCTAACGAAGACTATTGTATCGTTAAAAATTATTTTTTTATCTTGTACAAACAAAATAAATTTATTGAAAAATATAAAAACAATAAAAAGTTATACTTCGGATGTTAATTTAGTATCAAAAACGTAAAATATTTGATTTACCCGAGAAATAGCCGAAGATTGCAGCGCCACAGCACTAGCGAATATTTAAATTTGCCGACTGGAATGCTTTCGGATAACGGACATTTCGGATATCCAGCTTTCGGATAAACGGCGTTCTACTGTAGTTTATTAAAGCTGTTAGATTTCGCGTTCAAAATCTTACGCCGGAAAAGTTACGCAACTCGTTGCCGCAAAAATATGCAGTGAGGAGTTGCGTAACTTTTCCGGCATTAACATTTAAAACTGCGCGTGAAGCCTCTGTTATATTTCATTAAAAAATTTTGTGTAATCAATTACTGTACAAAGTGATTTAATCTAACTTTTCAATACAACAAACTTTGAAATTTAAATTTCCAACCAAGTCAATTTTGTTTCATTTAAATTTTAAACTAAGGATATTAATAGTAACACTATTTCTAATGAAACTTTTTCTTGAATTTTATTCTTCATTCACCTTTCATGCAGGTCTGCGGAGTTTTAATGTTTTCGTAGGAGTCCTCAAAAATATTTTACAAATCTACATGTTGAAAAACCTTCTGAACCCAAAAACTGTCAGATAAAGGGAGAACTTATTTTGTATGTGTGTTGACTCTAATTTGTTTAATTTCTTTTAATTTGTTTATAAAATTTTAAAATTTTGCATGCAGGACATGAAATAACACTCTAGTTTACTGCATTTTTTGCTAAGGATTATCCACAATACTGCACACACTTAGCACAGCCAATTTTACTATAGCCGTGTCTCATCTGGGGGTTAATCTAGGGTAGTGTGTATTTTCATTGTTTCAACAAATGCCAAGAGTGATTGAAAATATACTCAAATTGCTCAAGTGCACAGATCAATGCCAATCTTGGTCTGTGATCAATCTGAGCAGCATTCCAAAACAACATATTCATCTCAAACAAATATACAGAGTTCTTGTAATAGTTCACTAAGATATCAATTATAAGGGTACATTCTGACCACTTGAAGAATGTCTTTACATATGAAAATATAGCAGAAGTCCTGTGACAATGGAAACAGCCCTATTGCTAAAACATAAGATTCTTCTGAGAATTTTTGAGACAGTAAAACCAAACACCACATATTTTGTATGGAACTACTTACTTTAGTTCTATCATATGAGTTTTTACCTTTTCTATGTGATGCATTTTCTCTGATATGACTACCATGTCTATAATGACCTATGACCTCCAGTACCATATCTTTCTATTGAGTGTTATTTCCATTAGTCATTGCACTTGTACAGAGAAACCTGCAACCTGTCTCTAGTTGGCTAAATAAAACTGCATGAGAAGACATAGCCTGTATAGTCACTATAGGAACTTCTACTTCATAGTTCTTATTCATCATTTCCACTAGTTCCTGATCTACTAGATCTTTGTATAAATGCTAGAATTTGTTGTGTGGTTATGGGGATATATTGGCGCCATAATGAGTTAAGTAGATTACTGGTTATAATGATTTGAAATAAGGTATTCTTAGTAAACTGAAGGATGTTAATCTCTCAAATTGAATGCTTGAAGAAGTTGCTGCAGTTGATGTTCAGAGTCTGCAAAAGAGGATGAGAATGATATTGCTTGCTTGTGTGAGTACTTTGCTTGTCACACTTCTATCTCTCAATTAAATTCATTTTTATTTAATGTGATATTAACTATGATGAATTGTATTTTGATTTTATTGAACCAAAGTGCCAAGTACTGAAAAAAGTGCATTGACAATAAATATCAAATAACTGCTTAAAAATTTAAGGTTTAGCAATGAAAATTTTATGAACAACGAAGCTTTTCTAAACTTTTTTTGTCAAATACTTGATCAACAATGGCAGTGGTTTGGGATCTCAGTAAAACAGAAGTATAAGCATCAAAGCCGTAACTAGCCATTCCTGTGCCCTGTGCAAGAATTTGCATTTAGGCCCCTTAATTTATTTGGTTTGGGAAAATAATAAAACAAATATATTACAATAGATTTTTAATAAGATTTATTTTAATTGAACTTTTCTGGCTTTCGTTTCAGCAAATTCATTAATTACATGATTAATATTTTTAATGATAATGTATTCTATTGAAATAATAGAAATATTGGACAATCGTTCTTGCCCGATAGTTGATCATAAATAATTTTTTATTAATTTTAACTTGCTAAAACTTCTCTCGCACGAAGCAATAGAAACGGGAAGAGTTAGAAATATTTTGAAGAGCGACATTGATATTTGGGTAAGATTCAAACCAAAATCATGAAGAGCCTGTAGAATATTAAGCGGAGATGCAGTTTCTATATTTTGTATAAGAGTCGTTACTTCAAACTTAAAACTTTCAATTTCACTTGTGAATTCGTACTTTTTTAAATCTTTGCTATATTTAATAGCGAGATCTGCAGCTGATTTTTTTTAAATCAGCAACACTCATATATTGTAAAGAAGAGCCATAGAGAAAGCAAAAATCAGCCTTTTTCAGTAGCCTCGGGGGGCCCCTTCGAGGCCCTACTCGGCCGCATAGTTCGCTTACCACTTAATCCGTCGTTGAGGTATACAACACATGCGTACCACTACAAAGCAAAAAGTTATGTCAGAATTTCTGCACGCCTTTTACAACCTCGAGACTAAGATTTTATTCGAGAGTTACCACGTCTTCTATTTAGCAATTTATCACTTAAAAAAATCCCCGGGCAGATTTATTTTTCTTACAAAATGTTACCTTTACAGATTTTTAGCTCTGCACACTGTAGAAAAATCTAGAAATACAGTTTTGTATATCATAATAATATTAGTCGTTTCCAGAGAGCTCTATAAAGTAGAGAAAAAAAAATCTATAAATTTAAATTTCTCATAAAATAAACAAACAAAATTTCAAAAGTTGCTACTTTTGGCTGATTTTCTGCGGTCTCCGCTATCTCACTACGTCCCTCTAAAAGTCGCCACGGTTGGGAACACTGGTGAGCAGACATCTAGGGTCTAAAAATAAGGCAAAATGTAATCGCCAGTAAAAAGGAGGAAAAATTTAAGATTTAAAACTATAATTTCTTGTGAACAGCAGTTTGGGCCCCCCCTTCCAAGTGGGCCCTGTGCGAATGCACCTGTTGCACCTGCCTAGTTACGGCTCTGATAAGCATGATGTCATAGATTGTTTATTCATATCACATTTGGGTCACCAATGTTGCAGTTATGTATCCAATAAGTGTTGTCTGCACTAATTAGTTCAACTTGTATAGTCAATTGAGTATTCCCCAAAGGTAGGATCATTGAGAGAGAGACCTGGGGATTTTTCCTGAGCTAGGAAGAATTTAAGGGCCCTTAGTGGTACTCATATAAATTAATGTTATTTTTATTAACAAAAAATTAAATTATTTAATATTTTCTTCATAATTAACTTGCAATTAAATGTAAATCTTAGTACTAATTACATAATGAAATCTCATCTAATCTGAAAAAGCAGTGTGAAATAAGATATGTGTAACTATTGGCCAATGAGGCAAGCACACAAGAAAAGAAAAAAAAAACAAACAATGCTATATAGAATAAAAAATGTTTAATTACACATTGAATTTTCCTTATAGCAGGTACATTAACAGATGCCAACTCTAGGATAATTTCTGGCCAGAGCCGGCCCTACCATAGGGCAAACTGAGCAGCCGCTCCAGGCGCTAAGTCCTAGGGGGCGCCTCAGTGGTAAAGAAAATTAAAGGAAAAAATATTTTTTTCACTTTTCGATATTTTAATTGCAAGCGTGTGGCCAGTATATGAATGGCCTTATCTGTTGAGACGCGCGTGGGCGGGGTTCCAACCCCGCCTAGGTTACAGGCAGGGATGCCACCTGCGGTGACAACTCTGCTGGCACCGCAGGTGTTTTAGTTGTTTTAGTGCTGTTTTAGTTGGCGAGTCCACTTCGAAGCGCCGGCACGAATCCAACCAGAATCTCCATATTAGAAAAAGCCTAACTGAACCAATCTCTAGCCGAGTACAGTGGGACTGATTTCTTCGAAATATTAGATGTAATAAAGACAGACATTTTTCCAGTTCGACGAGAGTGACCGAAAAGTTGTAAATTTTGGGAATTTCCGTGGACAACACCTGGTCCTAAAACGAATTAGTTAGAAAAAAAACGATGGACAATCTATTAAGTTTAACGTATTTAGACTTTTACAGCTGTGGTGAGAAACGTTTAAAATTTACAAGAACCCTGTCGCGTCTTTTGAGGTATATTAGTGATGCGACAAAAGAGGCATTTGAAATTGACCGGTATCGGCACCCTCGGGATTTGGCAGCCCGTGTGCATGCACACACCACACACCTAGCAGGACCATCTCTGATTCCACTCTAAGGAGCTATTTGACTAAGTCAGGGCCGTGCCGTGCTATGATGCGGCCTGATGCCGCCTGATCATTGCATCATATGATGCAGTGATGCGGCCGCATCAGGCGGCACCGTAAGGGGGCGGCATAAGCAGCGAAATCAAAATATTATTTGAATCATTCAATAATTAAAAATTTTTACGCAACGCTTTTCTATATTGATCTATGTTATTCCGATATTGATGTATATTATTAATGATTTATCGCACGCCTCTGCTTAAGTGCTTTCGGTACCCTTTGATTTCGGTTTATGGTGCAAATGCATTGTTGGAGAGCGGCNTATTTTAGAGAAAAAAATTTAAGGGGCGGCATTTCAAAGACTTGCATCATACTGAGGAAATCTACAGCACGGCCCTGCTTGCATGCATCACTGGTATAAATTAGGGGCAACCAAGGGGGGCGCCATAATAGGATCTTGCTCCATCCTAAAACTTACCTCGGGCCGGCACTGTTTCTGGCAGTTATCCAAGATACCTGACCATTCGCAATGAACAATTACAATTTTTATACACCACAAAACACAAAATTGGGATATTAATGATTTATACCAGGGCTTCTTAAACTATGGGTCACGACCCCATTTGGGGTCGCTTAGCGAAATCTTGGGGTCACAAGATTTTAATGCAAAATATTGAAAATAATTTGTGAGAGTTTGAAAATGGCACACTTTGTGTCATAGATTTCGTGAGTTGCGCTTTGTGTCACTTCTGGTGCAGTGAGACAATGATTCAGCAACACTGATTGTAGTGTGAACTAGTGTAGTGTTGTCTCTCTTCAGTGTATTCAGTTGTCTCTGTTCCATTGTAACACAAGAGTGAACTGTGGTAGTACACCATTATTGTTTTTGCAAATTTGTATATATCTTTATTTTATATTTTTTTGGGTCGTGAAAAAAATCACAATCATAAATGGGGTCGTGAATAAAAAAAGTTTAAGAAGCCCTGATTTATACAATAAACAAAGAAGAACGGTTCAAATGTTATGAAAATAAAATTCATACAATTAATCCTTATAACTACTAGATTAAGAAACATACAACTAATAGAATTAAGACATTGAGATATCATTCCAAATTATGTCAGTATCCATACTGGTATTTAAATTAATGAAGTTTGGAACACATACAGTCTCCATGGATCAAACATTGTAAAATTGATAGAAATAATGTAAAAATATTATTGAAAGATATTTACCTATTTACCTTAAGAAAATTTAAAAATACACGTAGCAATAGTTAATCATAAAAAGTTGATTAAGTTAAATATTGGCATGGATTATAATTTGAATTTGTAATCGATAATGATGTCATTATTAATTATAAAGACTGTAATGCATGTGAAGTTGGATGACGTGATAAAGTTAGACAAACTTGGTGTATCAAATCTCATAATTTTTAAAATTTTGCCTTTATGAAATATATAAGTTTGTGTATATATATATATTTTTAATATTTTTTTAAACAGAAAAAATGGTTAATTTTTAAAGGGGTTTTAAAAGGTAAAAAACAAATCCTGTATTTTTTTTCTTAGCCCGAATGCATCCTAAGTTTATATATGTATACTGTATATAAAATAAAAATTCTTATAATTTATAATTTCAGGTATTATCTAAAGAATTAATGAAATTGCTAAAAAGTTGGTGGAATAAGATAGATTTTTGTGTGCTCTTAGCAATATTCATATTAATACCACTCTCAATGAATAATATATTAGAAGCTTATAACAAAATTGTGATTGATGTTCTTTTAATCGTACGACTTTTTAATATTTTTCAATATGTATTTCTTTTTAAGGTATGCATCATTTCTTTATATTATGTCTTATTATATAAAATAGTTTATTTTTGATTTTTGAAAAAAATTTTTTTGTGAATTTTCAAAATTTAAATTAATTTTGGTTCTGTTGAAAAAAATCAGTTGTTAATTCAAAATTATTACATATTTTAATATTTACATATTAAAGTTTAATATTGGAATTTGAAATGGAAACTGAGAAAAAATTAGTTGAAATTATTAAATTATACAGCGAGTTTTTGCTAATTTAAACTAATTATGTTCCTTTTTTGCTAAATGTTCCAACCAGAAACAAAATGAAATTATAGATTAATTTTAAAAACACTGCAGATTTGTCCATAGTCCTTCTTGGCTTGCTTGTCTTTATACAAAAATCACTGATCTGAACAATCTCATATAGTAACCAATTCAGTTAAGGAAAAGTGCACTATTTATTAATTAATTAATTATTTATTTAATAGTAATTTATTTATAATTTAGAAATAAAAAATACAAGAATTTAGATAACTTTATTTTAATCCATTGTTATCTATTCCTACTCTCTTTTATTCTAAAACAAAACTTATTTCTGCATTCATTATTTCCAGACTTTTTACTCATTTTTTGCAAACTAGCTTTATACCTTCTCAGCGACATACCACCATGCTTATAAGTAGTTCTTTGGACTACTTATAAGCATGATGGTATGTCGCTTGACATACTTATAAGCAGCGACATACCGACATACTTATAAGCATGGTGGTATGTCGCTGAGAAGTACTGCTTTCCATCCAATATCAATTTTTGCAACTGTGCAGAAAGTTTTTGAATATTGTTTATATCCTTATCTCTACCTTAGCATAATTTTTAAACTTAATCCATTTCAATATTGTGGTTTACTCTATCATTCAACTGTTTCTAATCTACTTTGTACACAGTTTGAAATCTTAAAAAAATTTTGAAAATAAATTATCTACATATACTCTATAATTAGATATCCATCAGGTGTTTTATTCAGTATTACCGAAGATACTTTTAAATATTCTAAATTCTGAATTTGATGTTCAGAACCTATTTTTATCACTTGCATTTTTTGACACCCATCTTTATGTCCCTTAAATAAATAAATTTAAAAATCGTACTTACTCAACCTTTATTGTCCGGTACTTGTAAATTATTTGTAAAACAAACGTTTTCGGCCTCAGTCGAGGTCTGCTTCAGGTTAAATTATTGGATTTCATTCTTCGAATGCACGTTTAGTTTTAAATATAATCGAATTTCTTGCGCGTGTTACGTATCGTCATCGTTTTTGTTGTTCTTCGCATACGTAACGCCAAGCATAAGAAAGCGTGTTTCCGTCTTTGTTGTTTATACATCTCCCTGTCCTGCCTGCTTTGTAGATTTCTAGGGCTTCAAGTGCTCTGATGTGATCCGTATGAAAAGCTCTATTTATTAATCTGGCTTTTGATAGCTCCGCGTGAATATCCGGGTCGGTTGCGTAGGTGGATAGTGCAGTGGTGTAACGAGCATGTTCTATGTCATATTTGTGCTCTTTAACTCTCTGTTGGATTGAACGTTTCGTGGAGCCGATGTACACCCTTTCTTGTTTAAACCTATCATCTCTCACCGGAATACTATATACCCCCGGAGCTCTCATATCGTTCTGTTTGTCTTTTGCATTACGTAGTAATTGGTATACATTGGGGGTTCTTCGATACGCTATCCTGGTGTTCGTTTTAGTTGCAATTTCTTTATATAACGCTTGAAACCGTTTGCTGTATTCTACTATGTTGCGTCTTCTGTTTGGCTCTTGATTATCATTTTTAGTAACAGGTGCCTCCTGCGTTTCACGTGCTCGTAAATAGGCATTTGCCATTCTTTGTACTAGTTCTTTTCTGTATCCATGTGCAACTGCAACGCGTTCTATATTTTGTAGCTCAATTATCGTGTCACTCCACTTAGAAGGGTGCGTAAATGCTCTTCTGATCAACGCCCGGAATGCTGCGATTTTATAAGTGTACGGGTCCGCTGAGTTTGCCGGTATAAACCATGGGATGTAGCTGGGTTTATAATATATACCCGTATCAATGCTTTCACCGTTGAGCATGATGTTGATGTCCAAAAAGTGTGCGTTGGTGGAAGTCATTTGATCTAGTTTCAGGGTCAGCCCGTATGGATTGTTGTTTATGTGGCTCAAAAACTCATTTATGTTTGGTTTCGTTTTCCACAAGATAAATACATCGTCCACATATCTCTTATAAATAATTATATTAGAACTATACTTTGGTATGACTGTTTCTTCCAACTTACGTAATACCAACTCACATAAGTCGCTAGACAGCGGGCTGCCCATGGGTACTCCTCGTTTTTGTAAATAGGTCTTGTTATTAAATTGGAATATAGAGTTGTAACACATAAGATGCGCTAATTCTAAGATCTGCTTGCGATGTGTTGATGTTCCAAATTTGCTCAATAGGAGATCTCTTAGAGCGCAAAAACATGGTTGCAATTTGATCGAAGGGTATAATGATACAAAATCACATACAGTGATGTGGGCCAACTCCGTTACACGTGTTTGCCTTAATATTCTTATAAGCTCTTTGGGGCTCTTGATGTTTAGATCGTAATCCCTCATATTGTCTGATGCAATGATATGAACCGCTTTTTCAAGAAGTTGTGTTGGAGATCTGGCCTTGTCCAAAATGGGTCTAAGCGAAGGTGTTTGTTTCTGTGTTTTCGCAAAGGCGAATAATCTAGGCGTGTCCGGTGATGTCACCACCGCCCCTTTCAATTTTAGCTCCCTGGCAAGCGGTGTTTTTGTAAAGCGTTTGACTCGCGCCTGTAGTCTGTCAACGTATCCGACGTCAATCGGCTCGCATTCCGTATCTGTGATGTATTGCTGCATCAGACTTCTATAGGTGGTTTCTTTTAAGAGTACTAATGCCCTGCTTTTGTCCGCTTTTAAAATTATGATGCCTTCCTTGGCTATCCATTTTTTGGTTTTTTGTAAACATCGCCAAAATCTTTCATCTTGTGTTTTATTGCGGCCGGAACAGATTTCGGATGCGGCTTTCCATCTGTAGTATTCTTTGTGAGTGTCCTTCATGCCCACGATCATCTTTTCAATATGTGGCATCACACTGTCCAATATTGGCTTAGGGGTTCCTGGAGTGTACATTGGGCCATTCGCTAAGGCGTCAATAAGATAATCAGGTGGAGATATGTTATCCCAACATACTAATGGGATTATAGGTGCTACCTTCCCGAGCGGTCTCTGCTTTTTTAAAATCCAATTCATTTTCTTCTTGTATTTTACGGCCAGGTTCCTTTCTAAAATTTCTTGATATATAACGGCCCTTTTGTTTGCTTCCTGTAATGCTGATACATTTTGCCCGAATAGAATATTTTCCTCCTTAATTAGTTTATCGAGCTTGGAATACACGCACCTTCTTGTTGTTCTAATTGCTTTCCTTAAACAGAGATGTCTTAATTTCGGTAAAAGGGATTCACATCCTTTTGGGAGATATATGCGGTATATGGACATTGGGAAGACCCTTTTTCTCTGACATTCTAATAAGAAATCCAATTTTGCTCTAGCCCTAGTTAGGGTTAGCACCAGTTTTTTGTATGCGTTAGCCGGCATAGCTTTGTAAATTAAAAATCTTCTAATCCGAATACCGGTATTCTTATAAAAATCGTACTTACTCAACCTTTATTGTCCGGTACTTGTAAATTATTTGTAAAACAAACGTTTTCGGCCTCAGTCGAGGTCTGCTTCAGGTTAAATTATTGGATTTCATTCTTCGAATGCACGTTTAGTTTTAAATATAATCGAATTTCTTGCGCGTGTTACGTATCGTCATCGTTTTTGTTGTTCTTCGCATACGTAACGCCAAGCATAAGAAAGCGTGTTTCCGTCTTTGTTGTTTATACATCTCCCTGTCCTGCCTGCTTTGTAGATTTCTAGGGCTTCAAGTGCTCTGATGTGATCCGTATGAAAAGCTCTATTTATTAATCTGGCTTTTGATAGTTCCGCGTGAATATCCGGGTCGGTTGCGTAGGTGGATAGTGCAGTGGTGTAACGAGCATGTTCTATGTCATATTTGTGCTCTTTAACTCTCTGTTGGATTGAACGTTTCGTGGAGCCGATGTACACCCTTTCTTGTTTAAACCTATCATCTCTCACCGGAATACTATATACCCCCGGAGCTCTCATATCGTTCTGTTTGTCTTTTGCATTACGTAGTAATTGGTATACATTGGGGGTTCTTCGATACGCTATCCTGGTGTTCGTTTTAGTTGCAATTTCTTTATATAACGCTTGAAACCGTTTGCTGTATTCTACTATGTTGCGTCTTCTGTTTGGCTCTTGATTATCATTTTTAGTAACAGGTGCCTCCTGCGTTTCACGTGCTCGTAAATAGGCATTTGCCATTCTTTGTACTAGTTCTTTTCTGTATCCATGTGCAACTGCAACGCGTTCTATATTTTGTAGCTCAATTATCGTGTCACTCCACTTAGAAGGGTGCGTAAATGCTCTTCTGATCAACGCCCGGAATGCTGCGATTTTATAAGTGTACGGGTCCGCTGAGTTTGCCGGTATAAACCATGGGATGTAGCTGGGTTTATAATATATACCCGTATCAATGCTTTCACCGTTGAGCATGATGTTGATGTCCAAAAAGTGTGCGTTGGTGGAAGTCATTTGATCTAGTTTCAGGGTCAGCCCGTATGGATTGTTGTTTATGTGGCTCAAAAACTCATTTATGTTTGGTTTCGTTTTCCACAAGATAAATACATCGTCCACATATCTCTTATAAATAATTATATTAGAACTATACTTTGGTATGACTGTTTCTTCCAACTTACGTAATACCAACTCACATAAGTCGCTAGACTTATACTGAAACTAGATCAAATGACTTCCACCAACGCACACTTTTTGGACATCAACATCATGCTCAACGGTGAAAGCATTGATACGGGTATATATTATAAACCCAGCTACATCCCATGGTTTATACCGGCAAACTCAGCGGACCCGTACACTTATAAAATCGCAGCATTCCGGGCGTTGATCAGAAGAGCATTTACGCACCCTTCTAAGTGGAGTGACACGATAATTGAGCTACAAAATATAGAACGCGTTGCAGTTGCACATGGATACAGAAAAGAACTAGTACAAAGAATGGCAAATGCCTATTTACGAGCACGTGAAACGCAGGAGGCACCTGTTACTAAAAATGATAATCAAGAGCCAAACAGAAGACGCAACATAGTAGAATACAGCAAACGGTTTCAAGCGTTATATAAAGAAATTGCAACTAAAACGAACACCAGGATAGCGTATCGAAGAACCCCCAATGTATACCAATTACTACGTAATGCAAAAGACAAACAGAACGATATGAGAGCTCCGGGGGTATATAGTATTCCGGTGAGAGATGATAGGTTTAAACAAGAAAGGGTGTACATCGGCTCCACGAAACGTTCAATCCAACAGAGAGTTAAAGAGCACAAATATGACATAGAACATGCTCGTTACACCACTGCACTATCCACCTACGCAACCGACCCGGATATTCACGCGGAGCTATCAAAAGCCAGATTAATAAATAGAGCTTTTCATACGGATCACATCAGAGCACTTGAAGCCCTAGAAATCTACAAAGCAGGCAGGACAGGGAGATGTATAAACAACAAAGACGGAAACACGCTTTCTTATGCTTGGCGTTACGTATGCGAAGAACAACAAAAACGATGACGATACGTAACACGCGCAAGAAATTCGATTATATTTAAAACTAAACGTGCATTCGAAGAATGAAATCCAATAATTTAACCTGAAGCAGACCTCGACTGAGGCCGAAAACGTTTGTTTTACAAATAATTTACAAGTACCGGACAATAAAGGTTGAGTAAGTACGATTTTTATAAGAATACCGGTATTCGGATTAGAAGATTTTTAAATAAATTTATTTATTTTTATTTAATAACTACAAATTTTATAAATTATTACAAATATTTAACAATTTAAACAACCTTTTTTTATAAAAAGATTTTTGTAATTATTAAAATTGTCTTCTGTTTATTTAACAGAATGTTCTGATGAGGGGATTATAACAATAGTGACCCCAAAATACAAAAGTTTTGTATCTGATTTGAGGTTGCCAAATTGTAAGCCCAAGTCAGGATGGAAGAGAGATGAAGATTTGTATATGGGTGTGACAGATACAGAGACAGACTCAATGGTTACAAAATATTCATCCTAATTTATTGTCACAAAATGAGCTTACAGAAATTCAGTGATCTGCATATTCTCATAAGTAATGAGAAAGTCCCCTGGGTCTTCTCTTTTAAAAGAGAGTCCTGAGAGAAGGGTACTTTCATCATCTCATCACCCCTGGGGCAATGATCTGGAGAGGAACTGATTGATGTCAATCCAGTGAGGGAGTCAGAGGTGAGGCTGGAGACACAATAAAGAAAAGTCTGACATTTATAAAAATTGCTCCTCATCCTTGGAATTTTGGGTTTTTGTTATGTTCTGTTCCTGATCAACCATTCCAATTAGTTACTTTTCCTTGTTCTCACTTTCTAAGTGATCAGTCACTCATTACTAAGTGTAACAAGATCTCAACTTAGATTGCAAGATGACATTTAATTTGATTTTAACTGTAGATAGTTGATCTAGGGACTTACATTGTTTAAGTTTTTTCCTCATTTATTATTATTATTTTCCTTTGTATAGAAAACAAAAATATTAAATATTAATGAATTTAATATATTTAGTAGGATTCGGGAGCACTTCTGGAGCCTCACACTGACAGGATACTTTAATGGTAAATAAAAGTATCTGAATTAATTGCAGTCTTAAATTTTTGCCTGTTTGAATATCAGAATTGGAACACTTAAAATACCGAAGTACTCAAATTACAAATTTCAGTTATTTAATTGTATTATTTCCAATCTAGAAATTAATAATAGAACATTTTGTTTATCTGACAAGACCTGGTAGCATAGCCTCAAATCTAATACTGAAATTCAAACTGTCCAAAATTGTACACCAATTCTCCTTGTCTGGGTTTTCTCTCCCTGTATTTTTGATTCTGTTTCCTTTGATAATTAATGCATAAGACTTGATCAAAGTTGCACCTACACACTTCCAAATTCTTCCTAACTTAATAAACAGGATCTTTTCCCTTTTGTGCACACACAAAAACACTCTTTTTTCACATCAATTATCTCTTTTTTTTATTTTCTTTTTACCTTCTAATTCCTTTTGGACTGAATCATGAACAGTGGGTAGGTAGCAAGAACAATTGACTGGAAATGTCTTCATATAGTCAAATGCTTAAGACAATGGATACTAGAAATAGAAACAAGTAAAAAAGAAACAATCAAATAAATTGTATATGCATGTATGAATTTATTGGTGTATTAATAAATGAAACAATTGGCATAAAGCCACAGGTATAAAGGAGTACTTTAAATGCAGTTTTGATTTTTTAAATTCAAAACATGAAAATATTACTTATATAAACATGATCATAACAAAAGTATAATAATCCAATTTTAAAAATTTAATTACAAAATTCCATAATTGGCCTGAAATTTGAAAAAATTGTGGACCTATAAATTCCCACTATTGTCTGTTTCTGTTTGTCTATCTGTCCTTCTTTAATCTCAAGAATAGAGTTTATAGTTGAATGTTGAGACCAGATATGGAAAGCTTAGGAGCAGGTGGTCCAGATTAATTATGTACAAACTTCTGGTTTGGACCAGAAGTCATGTTATTTCAATTCAAAAATTTCCCCCTGAACAAAGTTAGGTAACCAACACAACTGTATTGGTAACAGGAAAAGTATGATGAACAGGAGTAAGACACCACTTAAAGAATTTAGAACATTGTGACAATGTCACAATAAATAATTGCTCTTTAAATATAAATATTATATAAATCAAACTTTCAATTTTAAGTTCAATTTCATATTTTTTCTCAATTTTAAAGATTGCAAAATTATAGTATTAAACCCTTAAATATTGTTATGTTATTCTTGAATATACAATTTTATAACAAAAATTTTTTAGAAATTTATTTTTAAATATCGTTTAAAAGTACATTAAAAAATAATTTCTTGTTATTTACATCTTTATTAATTTACATTTTTTTTAGCTTTTATTCAAAAAGTATGTAAACTGGAAAATTAAAATTCACATGTACAAGAGTTATGATTTGGGTCAAGGCTTTATTTCTGGTCAAAAGCACATAGAAGAAAATTGTAACTATTTAGTGAATTATAAACCAACTTCAAAAATTATGAAAGAAATCATCAGTAGTGATAAGTATGAGGTAGGAAATTATAATTTCTTTTAAAATTAGATGAGAAGGTAAATTTATGTACAGGATGATCATAATTAAAGTGTCACTATTTAACACTCTGGAAGAATATGTAGCAGTCCAAATGCAACCAAATTTTGTACGATGATGTTTCGGAATATGCAAAAGAGATTTCTGTAGGCTAAAAATTTTTTCAAAAACTTACCATTATGGAATTTATATTACAAGTGGCAAAACAGGACCTTGACACAATATTTTTAGTTGTCAGAACTCATGAAATACATTTGCAGCATAGAACAGTTTATAAGAAAAACATTCTAGCAAGGTTATGACCACTACAACTGATATTATAACATAAATGGAATTTTACATGACATAGACAGTTTTAAACTCAAAAAATACCTATAGCAGTGTGCATTAAGCATATGAAGTATGCTTTTATGCCATTTACAATAACACAACTCCTGTAGTAGTGAGTTTGAAATAAAATTTTTCCCTTACAGAAATCCTTTCCATGTCTTAAAATGTTTCCAAAAAAATTTGGTTGTATTTGGACGATTACATATCCTACCAGAAAATATTGAGTAGAAATAATTTAATTATGATTACCTTATATATTATATACATAAAATTTGCATTAAACTTGAAATTCTTTTTGAACACTTGCTTGAACATTAACACTTACTATATTTTAATTCCAAACAGTATTTGATAGCAAGTGTTTAACAATAAAAACATAATTCAGCATTTCAAATTAGAAAAAAAAATTTTTAATACATATTTTTGTAGTTCAGAAAATATTATAAATAATAAACATTTACATAAACATTAGATTTTCTCCTATCTGCTTTTAAAGATAATTGTCATTAACAACAGTAACTGAAACACTATTAAGATAAAAAAAATTAACTGAAACTTGAGGACTAATTAAAATACATAAATCAAAACTATATCTATTTGATGTGATTCTTGGAAAAATATCATTGTAAATCTGACCTATATTGAGAAAAATTTGGAAAAGATTGAAAATTCTAGTTCTTAATTAGAATCTCATTAATGTCAACTATCAGTTATTATGCTTTGATGTACTGATGTATTCTTTTCTTATTTTATGCCAGTGATGTATTCATGGAGGATACTGCATAAACAAAATCAGCACACAATAAATCCATTTTAATATAAATAAATAGCAATGCTTTTCAAGCTTTCACTAATGAGCATATATATATTATTCAATAAAAATGTGAAGTAAAAAACTTTCATATTACAAAATAATAATAATAATACATAAATTATAACTTACTTACTTTATAGACAAAATTGACAATGCAATTTTTATACTAATGCCACACTAATGCTACTTATAAACTAACTACTGTACATTTTTTAAACATTAAATTTTTCATTGTCAAATTTTGAAACTATCTTTAGAAGAAAAAATATATTTCTTACTAGACTATACATATACATGAGTCTCCATATATTCTATCCCTTCACATGCTTATTGTAGAGGCATTAACAAGTCTACAGCAGAACTGTCCTTTTATTTGAGGCTACTGTCTGCCAACAAATGTAAAAAAGTTAAAAAGTCTTCTAGTGGTAGCACACAATACATAAAAATTAATATTGTAGAAGATATGGACTCATGTATATGTATAGTCTAGTAAGAAATATATTTTTTCTTCTAAATATGAATTTGTCCCGGCAACTTTTCTTAATGTAATTATTAATTTTTATGAATTATGTGTGCTACCACTAGAGGACTTTTTAACTTTTTTACATTTGTTGGCGGACAGTATCCTCAAATAAAAGGACGGTTCCGCCATAGACTTGTTAATGCCTCTACAATAAGTATGCGAAGGGATAGAAGATATGGACTCATGTATATGTATAGTCTAGTAAGAAATATATTTTTTGTTCTAAATATGAATTTGTTCTGGAAATTTTTTGAAACTATCTATTTAAAATTAGATATAAGGTCAAGATTTGCAACCTTATAGAAATTTCTTTAAACTTCATTTAAACAATTTGGTGTAACTTTTTTCCAGATGATATGAACAAAATGAATGGTCTTCAAAATATTAAATGACTTTCAATAATCTTTAGCAGTCATATCAGGATTTGTGTCTAAAACATTGGGCATTTCCTTAAAGGATTCTTGTAGGTAGTACTATTAACAGTGCTAGAATTTTCATTTTGGGAGAGTGGAGGTGGAGCAGAACATTGTTTTAGTGGGACAGATGTTATCTACACATTTTATCCTCAAACAAACTAATTTTTAAAATTTAGCAATTGATTTTCATGACATATAAGTAGAAAAAAGTTTATATAAGAACATATAATTATATGGTAAACAATCAATTCACATTTAAGGAATGGTCAATACAGATAAACTTCTGTAAAATATTTTAGGATGGGTAGATGGGTGGGTGAGGAAATTTTTGAGTGGTTTACTACCCACTCTTGCCCCATCCTAACACCATCCACAGTGGCATAGCATAGTGGGGGCAGCAGGGGTGGCCTGCCCCGGGTGGCACTTTTTAGGGAGCGGCAAAATTACATTTTAGGGGGCAGCAAAATTTCATAATAAATAATAATAATATCTTGTAAAATCTTGAACCATTTCATCACATATTTTCGTCGCACCTACAATTTGGATTGTTTGAAATGAGCACGAAAAGTGTCATCATCCGGACAGTCCGGGATTTCATGCACAATCTGTTTTTTTTTTTTTTATTTTGCTTGTACAAATCATTCGTATTCATATATGCCTCCAATGTCCAATACAGCTAAGTCATCTAGGTTACTTGCATTACTCCTACCCAATTCTCCCTAATCGCTAACTGAACCGGCATGCACTGCACATTATTCTTTGCATTGCAAAATGATATACACGTGCGTCAGGAACTTCTGTTCGAACAAACCTCACCTGCCGTCTGAGTCAGCGATTTTAAAAAGGTGGCAACACTAGCACGGAATTTTTCATTACTTCTTCTGTGACGAAACTGAATTTTAGTTTTTTAAATTGAGATACGTAAATAAGGGGGGTGGCGAAATTTTCCTTTGCCCTGGGCGGCTGACACCCACGCTACACCACTGACCATCCATAGATATTATATCTTGAAATATGTCTTGCTATTACATCCCAGTTTATCTGCTGCACTACAGATGTGTTTGAAGGCATATAAAATGTTAACTTTAAACTCTGTTTGAACTTCTTCAAGATTTAGAGGATAGCCAGAAACATTGTCTAACAGATAATGGCTTTAGGTGGTAAATCATTCTGAATGCAGAAGTTGTACATAAAAATGTTTTGTATACCAATTCCAAGAATAATTGTGTGATCCTCACCCTTTTGTTCAACTTTCAATAAACAGGCAATTGTAAATTATTTAACCCTTTTAAGGCAGATGATGTTTCTGAGTAATAAACTAACATTGGTTTCAATTTCAGAGTACCTGAAACATTAACACTAAGTAGCAATAGTTAGTCTATCTTGGAAGCATTAAATCCTACTGCAGACTTTTTGTTAGAGGCAATAAAACTCCTGGAAGACATTCTGTTCTATATTGGAAATAAGATCTTTGGAATATTCATTACTCTCTACAATGGCTTAGAATTCTACATGAAATGCTTTAGCCACTTCAATATCTGCACTTGCTAATTCATTGCTATCATAGTATTCATACTATGATACTTGGTGTATCTCTTTTAGCCTGCCCTTACTACCTAAAAATATTTCATCACCACCATCTTTTTTTTCCAGTTCATCAAACATAGACTTAGTCTCATCACAAATAATAGTTTGAGTCAATACAATGTTTTTCTCGTTCAGGTCTTTTACCCACAATGTTAATAATCTCTCCATTTGCTCTACTAATTTACTAAAGAATAACTCGCTTGTATTGCACTTACTCTGGTAGATATACTATATTTTGATTAAATATTTTCAAGAGCATGCACATGTGATCTGTTGAAGTCATTTTTTATTTACATATGTGTCTACCAGAATTCTAAATTGAATAAACACTTTCCATGGGAAGGAAAAAATATATGGCTTTATTATTACCAATATAGAGGAGAAAAAGGAAGGAGTGTATTTGTGTCATGGAAGATATAGTTTGTTTGTAAATTTTTTGGTGCATCCTGGCTGGAAAGAGTTCACTGCAAAAAAAAAGTGTTGAACCACAAAATATGGAGGGAAGAGAATTCAGTGAAATACAGCAAATCTGGTTTTATGTGAGCTATGTAGGTCAGCCAACTTTTTAATATTTTTCTCTTTGTTTAATCCACACATCTTTTATTCAATAGTGTAAGTAGGAGAGAGTGGAGAGGGTGATCTGTGGCGATACACCATAATTTTGTATATATGTCTTTAGTGTTAAGCCTAATATTAAGTTTCCTTAGTCTTTTGTTCTATATTTTTTTCTCAAACTTTCTAACTTTCTTCTCTAACTTTCCTTCCTGCTGGTGGTAACACGTTTTCGGAGAACTACAGTAAAAAACAATAGTGTGTAAAAACCCTGAGGCGAGTTGGGGAGAGAGATAACCATCCTTTAGCTAGCGTTCAGAAGAAGCAGACAGAAAAAGGAAAAGATCCAGTTCATCATCGCTGAATGAGATGTAGAGGTCTTAAGTCGTCTGCATGGAAACAAATGAAATAGACAGACATTAAAATCGAAAGTTTGATGAATACTTAGGAATCATCAGATCTGTGATAGAGAAAAAGACGGTGAGAAGTGAATTCAGCGCAAGTCCCCATTTTAAGAAGAGTGAAGACCAAACAAAGGAAAAACTCGGGTACTCCACCAGCATTCTTTTCTTTTCTTTTCTTATTATTCTTACCTCTTATCTCATCCTTTCCTTCTCTATTTCTCATTTAGAATATAAGTTAGTTTAAGATAGTTTAAGTTAGTTATAATATTTCAGGAAAATATCTCAACAGGAAAGAACCATTGTCATGAAAACGTGTCACCCTTCTTTGTTCGTACAAAGATCTATCACAGCAAATCTTATATATATTAGAGTTGCGTAGTTGGGATTCTAAAGAATCTAGTGTATATAGAACCACGTGAACAGTTAATAAAATATTTTATTGTGTACAACTTTGTATTGTAATGTTAGTCTGCGTGCTCACCACAGATCCACTCTGGGAGGCATTTTCTTGGGGCACTTTTGATCTACTACAATAGAAAGATCTTTTTGTTAGTAGAAATATACAAGATGCTAGACATAATTTTATTTTTCTATAAAAACACTGCTTATTGTTGGAAATTTTCAGCAATGGTAAGGACTGTGTTTCTTTGAAGATGGCCATATTGACCATTATACCTGTTGTATATACTTAGTTGTGCTTAATGAATAACAGCAGAGGAGATGATGATCTTAGGGTACAATATTAAGCTACAAAAAAAGAGTTAATAATTTAATCTTTTATTCCTTTGGGTTACATAAGGTGTGGTGCAGTATCAAATGGACACAATGTCAAAAGCATGTAGACATCACAAGGTCCGAACCAAGAAGGAGGTTTCAAATCAGTGTTGCCAGGTCCATTGAGTTTTTGGAGTTCTTTTGGTGGCGACTTTTGGCTTTATGGCCAGTGATGTCACCACAAAGTTCTTATGATAATTCAGATCTTAAAAAGATCAGTCAAAATAGTGTTGGCACTTGTTTAAAATAATATATTTATGATTCTTTAAGATTATAAGAAAATAATATATGACAATTTATAATCAATAACTTTTATAAATCATCTAAAAAACAAAATAATTAAGAAAAATTAAATAATTAATATATTGATATAAAATTGATTTTTCTAATCGGAAAATACTGTAAAAAAATAAAAAGAATTATTAATTTTACATTCATTTTTTATATTATAAGAATTGATGATGACAATAATTTGTTTTTATATTATTTAATATTTAGATAATCAAAGAAATGGTGAATATTCATCAGAAATATCCTGAAGTTGTAATTGCAATAAAAACTCAAATTACTTGTAGGAAAGTTTTGAATGATGCAATTGATGAATTAATGAGTATAAAAGATGTTATGCTTGAAGAACAAGATTATGAGCTACTTCAAAAAGTAAATTTTTCATTTTAATTTTTTTATTTTAATTAAAATTTAAAATATAAATTTTAAACTTATCATTACAATTATAGATATAACCAGTATTGATCCCATACCATTATATCTGCATATTGGTGTTGGTTTGTTATGCAAATCTATATTCTGATATTTTTTAATATGTATTCTTTATCCTGTATCTATTGATTTTCCATGGCAGGCATTTGAACACATCTACAGACATACTGTGCTGCAAAACTAATCTACAGTAGACAGTGTATCCTCTCCATGCATGATTTGCCACCAATAGCTACATGATGTACTATTGTTGTCTGTTGATTAATTAAAAATTAAACACAATTTCCCATTGGGCCAGTCCATCAGTGATGCTGAAAAATAAGTGAAAGAACCAATTGGGTACTAAAGAAAAGTCTGATATCAATGGCAATGATGAAATAGTAATTGTTCATCACTAGCTATCCAATTCAACAGACATTTATTAATCTTTGATTTAAATCAGCTTGTAGCAATGTAATGTCCTTTCTTCCCTGACTCAGAAATATCCTAATAGTACAGACTCTACACAAACAAAGTAAAGGGTCAGTTGGTAGCTTGCTCCTGAACTTGGTACAGGAACCAATGCAAAATTACTACATTTGTTGCAGAAGAACAGGGGAATGGTTAAATGCTGAGAACTCCAAATTGACAGGACTGATCGAGATAAAAAAAATGAAGTTTATTTATCCTCAATTACTGACGCTTGATAGTACCAAAAAGAAATGAACTGTACAAAAGTAGCCTATAAGGCACAAATGGCGATGTTTCAACTATCTCTACCACTTGTGTAGCCAACTGACTAATTGCTAGATTTACCAATAAGATCCTATGCTCTAATTTGTTTCTACTTGTCATCGCCAGGAGGATCAGGCATCCAGTATGTTTGCAACTTGCTTGGCATTGTCATTCCTTGCTAGAGACTAAACTTCTAATCAACAACTCCCAGTTTGACTTCACGCCACAGCGGTCCTCTGCTGACACCATTGAAATGGCAGCCAACAATATTCAAGAACTTCTAGACAACCATAAATATATCCTGGCCGTCAGTCTGGACATCACAAAGGCTTATGACAGTGCCTGGTGGCCTCTGGTACTTCATTGTCTTAGGGCCACCAATTGCCTGCCAATATCTATTGGCTTCTGTATGACTACCTGCATGATGCACTTTACAGTTTGGCAAACACTCCATCAAACATAACATCATCCAGGATTGTCCACAGGGGTCTGTGTGTGGCCCTATTTTGTGGAATATTGCCTTCAATACCTTTCTCATTGTCATATGCAAGACTTCAGATAGGACGATTTTGTCGCCTACACAGATGATGTCCTTGTGCCAATTGGAGGACATTCCTGGGCTATACTTGAGCAAAGGGGCGATGAAGTTCTAAACAAGATTTATGACTGGGGAAAGCTTCACAAACTAAAATTCAATATTGATCAGACAAAATGTATTGTCTTTAACAAGCCAAGTCAACCACACCTATACCGTCAAGTCCCAACTATTAAAATGGGAAGCAAAAGTTTGAAGGTAGAGAAAACTATAAGGTATCTTGGCATAGTCTTGGACCACAGGCTGTCTTGGTATGCTCATATGAACTATCTATTTGATCACATTGGTCTTATTTTCTATGCTTTTGCTGGTGTGGCCAGAAAATGTTGGGGGCTTTCTACTGGTGCCTTGGACACCATTTATAATCAAATCTTTATTCCTATCATCATGTATGCCTGCAGCAGCTGGAGATGGGCTATTCATAACGTACTCCTGTAAAGAAAATTGATTGCTGCCCAACATCGTGCAGTTATCCAAATCATCAGAGCTTAGCACACCACTGTTAATGCTAGTTTATAGATTCTGTCAAAAAAGCCACCCATAAATAAACTTATTGATTTTACTCCAAAGTCTGGCACATTAAATGGGGGAATAATATCGCTTTAACTAACATTACACTTAATAATAATGAACTTGAGTGGAACCTACACTTTAATCTCCCAAGGCATCCCTGTTTACATCTTACTCTCATCTTCAGTAGGCCCAAACATGTCGACATTGTAATTTACACTGATGGGTTGTAGATGGAAAAGCATGTGGGTTGTAGTTATGTCGCATTTCAAAACAACATTGAAACTGAAATGGGACAGTACAGACTCGGTGAGCATTGTACTGTCTTCCAAGCAGAGTTATATGCTATCTACATGGCCACAAGCTGGTCTGCCACTAAGCACTCTAATAAGAGTATTGCCATCACCACTGACAGTGCATTCTCCATTGCCCTTCTGAAGAACCATGGTCTCCATCCCATCACCAATAAAATACATGACAACATCCTGAATTCCTCTAATGACTATTTCATCTATTGGACTTGTGCTCACCAGGGCACTGAGGGCAACGAGAGGGCCGATACACTTGCAAAGGACACATCTCATAACTATAATCTACCGATTGCCTAACATGTATAACTCTAGAGCCTTAAAGAACATCCTCTGGCAAGACCTTCAATCCTTGCAAGAAGACTGGGACAACGATAATGATCATTCCATCACTCAGTTTCATTCCTAATATTAATGAGTTTTACACTTTCAGCTGGTACAGGCCTAATCACGATGTGATCCAATTCCTCACGAACCACGGTAAATTCTACTCATACCTGGTATGGTTTACAGGAGCATCTAACTCTCATTGCCTTCTATGCAATGTTAATGACAATAATCAACATTACATCTTCAATTATTCAATGTTGGAATTGGAGTGCCATCACGTAAAGATTGTTACTAATTCTCATGGTCACAATTGGCCACCTTCTTTCAACTACCTCCTCAGCTATGAAAATATGTACCATACCTTTGTTGATCTCATTGCCAAATATTTCAGGCTTACCACTGTTTCCACTATCAACTAGCCTCGTCCTTGTTTCCCTGTATTTTACTTTACATATATGTATTTATGTATTTTCCTGTAAATATTTTTATTACTTGTATTTGTTTGTCCACTGAGTTCTTGCATTCATTATTTGCACTTACTTTGTACATTGTCTATTTGACTTATTCATCTGCTCTGTATAATTTTTGTGTAACTATCTGTATTCACTTTATGTATTTAATTTTGTATGCATCTATTCCATGTACTCATTTATGTGTCCATTATTTTTTACATTTTCATAATTTGTATTCTACATTTTAATCATTTGTACTTACAAATATAAATATAAATTGTTACAGTATCTATTCATTTCATGTACCCACTTTATGTACTCATTATTATTTTATGTTTCCATTATTTGTACTCATTCTTGCTATATTCAACCTATATTTATATCTTTGTACATATTCTTTTTGTATAATTATTTTTAATTTTAATTTTACTTTGTACCACATATGTTTTGTTACTTGTTTCTTTACATGGTTGTGCCACTGCAGTACCAAGTATACACTGTAATCTGTGTGTTACAATAAATGAAATGAATGAATGAAATGTACTGCACCTCCCATTCATTTACATTTCTGTGCGTTTTCATTTACATTTTCATGTGCATTCATTTACATTTACAGAGTACTAACGATATATATAATTTAGGATCCTTACAGCAAAAGTACATGAATAATGTTGGACTGCACTTTCCAAAAAAGACAGAAACACACTTTACAATGTTGACAATTTCAAAGCTCAAGTCAGAGTCCCCTACTCCTCCTCTTTATGCAATAATCAACTGAATTACAATGAATAATGTGTTAAATCCTGATGTCCAGTTCTAGAAAAACATAATACATTGCTTTCTGTAGATGCTTCTTGGATACAATTGCTTTTCACACACAAAACCACTGACTCACCACAGATAACATTATTTAGGGATTCAAAAGCACCACATTACAAGTTTCAATTGTAATAAATGTAGTATTATAAGATGATAAGTTTACAGAAATTGCTATCATGATATGAAGAGAACAACTTCTTAATGAAGCTTTTACAATTTTTTTTTTTCCACATAAATTCATTATCGTATGGTTTCTTTATAGTAATATAATTGTAATAACAAAAAGTATTTTTATAATAAATAATTGCATGAAAGTCGACACTTTCATCTTTTGAATATATCTTTTCTCAGAGTTAATTATATTTTCCAAAATACGTAATTTATGCAAAGGATAAGGTTATATCGAGCATTTTGACACCAAAATAATTAAAATCGAACGTGGGAATTTTGTTTAAAAATTCGGACAAAAAGTGCAAACGTTACCCCAGTAGTCTGGGCTTCTCCAGGCAATAATAGAGAGGTTGAGGCCGAGGTTTTAAACGAGAAAACGTGTACGTCGGACGTTCAGCGCCGCTTTCCCGTAAGCCTAGAAGTTTGACAATGGTGTTTGGAATGTCGAGCATGATTCCACTAACTATCCAAATACCATTGTCAAACTTCTAGGCTTACGGGAAAGCGGCGCCGAACGTCNAAATTTTTTTAATACTAAATCTTTATTTATTTAAAAAGTTCAAAATATTTATGAATTTAAAAAAAACGTAAATATCTAAAGTCAATAAATTGAAATACAGTATTGATTATTCAAAAAAATTAATTTTAAGAGTAATAATTCCAGAAATTACAAAGTTTTTACTTAATAACTATTGTTGATGATTTATTGAGCTGTTTAGTAATCAACACTACTATTAGGTTTCATTTATTGTAGTATAAACAAAAAGGCACAATTAGTGAGTAATGGCCTTCTAATGCATCAAATGCTTCACTGTGCATATGCATAGTGAAGTATATCATACATTAGAAATGGTTGACATGGTTAAAAATGCAATCTAAAATAAATTTTTTAACTCTCATGGCAATGAAATAAGCCAGGGATTTTTAGAGTTAAAAAGAGAAAACTATGTAAAACAAAACAACAGAAATGACTTTCTTTTAAAAAAGAATTGTACTAAATAATTCTATTTAATATTAATTTTACCATTATGTATGTAGTGACAGAGCACTACATACATAATGGTAAAATTGTTTTTGGTTCTTGTAATTATATATTTTGTATATTGATTTCGTTTTCGTATCAGTTTTTGTTGTCGCGATACCTGTTTACTTGTAAAACATTCTGTTTGTCAAGTGCCTTCTTCGGCAACCACTCGCTGGCTCGTGATTGATTGTAATGGCATCACGTGACTAAGGTGTAAGCCCCAGATGGCAGGGGATATAAAAAGGAGAAGACCACATGTGCATGCACTTTTTTTTAGTTTTCGTGAGAAGAGTTGTTGAGCAGATACGAAAGGAATGCTTTGAGAGATCAGGTGAGGAGATCTTGAGTGGAACTGTTAGTGGGGAAGGGAGAAGAGCGTGGCGAGAGACTGTCTCTTTGTTCTTCGGAGCTAAAGGGAAATTCGTTTGCATTGACAGGAAGGTTGTGACCAAAGTGGAAAAAAACTGTTTGTTAAGGAAGGAATTCTGAGGAAGGAATTCAACTTGCAAATAGTTTGTTTTTTTTTCTTTGTGTTTGTTGTACTAGATTCAATGAACATGTCTGTGATCTCAGCATGTACTTGCCTTGTGTATATATATTTTAGTTATTGTTATTAGGTTAAGTATCGTTGTAATCTTAGTAATTATCATAATAATGTGTAAATTGTCGAATCCTTGTGAGATATATAAACATTGTTTTGCATTCCTTAATTTTTATTTTGTACTTTTTGTTTTTTTTGTATGGCCCTTATACTCCTTACTAACGGTGAGTCTGAATCGTCTCGATTTGTACCCACTACAAAATATGATTGTTCTTTCTGCTTCCATATAATAAATCTATGAAAATAGACCATCTGGTCCGTAAAATATCAAGACAATCTTTGGCATAATGTAGTTCTATGTAGAGAAAGATTTTTCCTCTTCATAAATCTGCTGATCCATCCTTGACTAGCTTTNTAGTAATTATCATACTAGTGTGTAAGTTGTCGAATCCTTGTGAGATATATAAAAATTGTTTTGCATTCCTTAATTTGTATTTTGTACGTTTTTGTTTCTTTTGTACAGCCCTTATACTCCTTACTAACGGTGAGTCCAAGTCTTGTCGATTCCTGCTCACTACATGTATTTTTTACTTTGAATTCAAAGATTGCAATGGAAGACTGGTAGTTGTTTTTAATAAATCAAAAATGATTAAACTTACTTTGATTATTGCAATTTTTATAATTTACAAGGAAGCAACATTTGATATGTTTATTTTTTCCCTTTATCTGATCAAATTTCAAAAGAATAAACATATGAAACCTGAGAAGGAAAAAATTACACAAATAAAAGATAAAATCGTGGTTTCTAATATGTGATGGCAGTAATTTCACAATCTTTTCAGTTTCACAAACTCTAGCCATGCACATGTTGCATTGCGTGAGTGATGCATGCAAGGCTATAATAGCAAGCAACAATTAGTATTGTTGGTAGAGAGCCCTAAAAGATGTCCCTATTGATCATTTTCCTTACCTGACATGTCGCAGAACAAAATAGTCCATTTTGAACTGCTTTGATAACAGGCAGAACTGACCTTGGCTGCACACGCTCAACTTCCATTCATGCTAATTGCTTAAAATTAGGTGCAAACATTTATGCAGCAAACAGTACTTTGGTACAGTACCTGACATGGGTTAACTTAAAGTAAGAGACTCAATCAAAAGACAAGGAGTTCATCATCCCAATGAGTGGTGTTTCAAATGTGTCCATGTCCAAAATCAGCAGGGCAAGAACCTTATTAAGAACAAAAAGAAAATTGCTTGAACTAGGATAAGTAGTTTTGCTCTTTTTGTTCATGCCCATCATGGGTTCAGCCAGACCTACAACAAGACAGCCAGATGATGAGAGAGAGAGGAACAGATCACCCCAAAAAAACTCCTGGGATTATTTTCTTGGGTTCAATCCCAGATCCTCAGAGTTTGGCCATTCTGCTATTGCATAAATAAGGTATATATAAAATAGACCTTTTGAAATTTCCAATGTCAAAACATTGGAAATTTCACTTAAGAGAAACAAAATTATCTATCACATGATCATCAGATACTGTGGTTTCCAATTTTCTTACCCATGTCTTATTTCATTGATCGATCATCAGTTTTGTCCAAAATTATGTAATATATTTTTAATATGAGTTGTTTCATCTGCATTTGTTTGTTTTTTGTTCATTATCTGTCCTATATTTCTTTCCTATTCATTTTCCTAGTTTGTAAGTTAAGTTTATGTGGATATTACAAAACTTAGATATTATAGTTCAATATTAGTTGATACTTTGTAAAAAAAAATACAGTATGTTAAATATGTTAAAAGGAAGAAAATATGGTCTTGGATATTTTAGTCTTTTTTATTTAGTCTGGATATTCTTGGATAGCTTATATGTAAATATACTAGTTTTTGAATATAGCTATACATAATTTAATTTTACAAGTTCTAGTTTCTTTAGGCTAAAAATATTTTCTTATTTTTATAATTGATGAATAAAGTATAACTTTTTTAGAATAACATAATACTTTTAAAATGTTACGTTTATTTCAGAATCATATACAATTTAAAGAATATCCTCCTGGAACTATTTTATGTAAATTAAATACCTTAAGCTTAGGAGTTTATGTTATCAGTTCTGGATTAGTCAAGGTAAAATTTTTTTCAATTTTTTGATTAATAGAACAGTATTTCTTATCAGATAAGATATAATAAATATGAAATAGAATTTTATAATATACAAGCAATTATTTATTGTGAAATCGTCACAATGCCAGGCTGCAATTTTTAATAATATTTTTAAAATTTATTTAATTTTAAATATATGATCTCCACCTCAAATTAGTAGTGTCTTGCCCCTATACATTGTATTTTTTTCTGTTAGCAATAGAGTTATTCCAGTCATCTATCTAACTCCATTCTTGAGATTAAGGAAGGACAGATGGACAACAGTGGGAATTTATAGGTCTCCAATTTTTTTAAAATTGCAGCCCAATGAGGACAACTATAGTACTGATAGATGATTCTTTTGATTTGTCTATGATAAATTGCATTGGCAATGATGCAGTTAGATATAGAAGAGAATAATACACAAACAAACTTGTTTGGAGCACATGCAAGCAAGCCTTTTATTAAATGTTTCCAGATGTAACAAAAATATACAGATTCAGAAAAAAACGGGTAGAAAGGACACCATCATACAAATAATTTGTACATATAACCTATGATAGCATATATGTTGAGATTTTAATTTTATATGCTTTCTTGTAATATAAACAGTTACCCCATGTAAAAACCATTAGAAATTGTCATCAAATCTTACTTCCATTCATGTGTATTCATGACCCAATTTGTTTCATCTCACACTATCATACCAATAACTGCTTAGATGACCAATTACAATCACCTTTAATCTATTGTTCTACATTTGTTTATGTATTCAGATTTCACTTTGTAAATGTGTGGCTATTAAATGTTGAAATAAAAGTTTCATTAATGCCAAATAAACTGCTGGATTAGTTATTGGACTGTAATAATGCTAATTTAATGTTTAGATGTAAAGCAATTTGACTATCAGTGGGTAGTTAGGCTGCCATCTAATGATAAATTTAATAATTAGAAGTAAATTCAATTTTAATTTTAAAATTTAAAACATTTTAGAAGAAAAGATTAAGCCAGAGCAGGACTCAAACTGCAACTCCTTTTTACCATGCAGATGTGTTGCCAGTTATGCTAACTAAAGCCCCATCAGTGCATCTGTACATTAATTGTGTGGTTGAGTCCCATTCAGGTTAATCTTTTCTTTTAGAATATTCTAAATTTAAATTAAAAATTGGATTTATTTCTATTATTAAATTTATTATTAGATGGTAGCCTAACCCCCTACCTATAATCAAATTGTTTTCTATCTAATCATTAAATTAGCCTTGTTATAGTCCAATAAATATTCCAGCAGTTCATTTGGCATTAGTAATTGAATTGGGTTGATATATATGTTGTTATATAAAAGTTTCACTTAATGCAATGCAGTCTGATGGTTTACTTTCACTTATCTGCACTAAACTTTTAACAGTATACCCTGCAAAAAATTGCTAGAATGAAAATAAAATCTTTGTATAACCTGTCCTGCCATATACCCCAGCACATATGGAGTGGCTGTTACTCTGTAAGTGTAAATTTATAATTACAATTTAAAATTGGCATATAACTTACCCCTTCACATAATTCACATCCCATTTCAAACTGTATTTTTTAACAGAATTTGTGGATTAAATACACAAAAATACAGTATATTCCAACTACATTTAGAGATGTAACATTTTTAGAAGGGTTTAACCCTTCTAAAAATGTTACATCTCTAAATGTATCAACTACCAATTTTAAAAACTAATTTAAAAACCAGATATATAAAGTTAGGTTGTACACATATATGTCCAAAACTTAAGGATGGACACAATTGCTAGCAGTGATAGCTATAAAAAATTATTCAGCCATTTAGTGATTAGCCTGCCATGAAATTGTGAGTGCTGCATTGCAATTTGAGGTGGACATATTCCATATTGATAGGTTTTTCTGCCTGAGTATTGGTAAGCATTTTATAGTAAGACACCAACCAAATGCCGTAAATTAATCGGGCTATTTTAATGCTAAATTCTAAATAAATTACGTAATTAATTTGGCACTAGAGGTAAGCATTAGGCGCCATCTCTTATTAAAATTAATAATTAATAATAGAGGTAAGCATTTTCCATTCATTCTCCACATATGTCCAATTGCTTTATGTATCTTTTTCATCAAAGATACTTTTATTGCTTAAATTTGTAGAATTTTACAAGCTGCTGTGTATTATCCTGTGTTAGACATTGAATAATACAGTTTTTGTCATATTTGTCTGCATTTATCTACAGTTCTCTCTATTCATATATGAATGTGTTCATTCTTAAGTTTTGGACACACAAATAAGAGTGGGCTTGAGCATATTAAACAATTGATATACACCAATTGTTTAATATGCTTAATAAGCTTATAGTATGTCCTAGTATCCTATCCTTGATTTGTCTTGGAGAAAGAATGATCAAAGTCTGCTTTTACTAAAATCTGGCAATTTTAATTAAGGTCTACAAAAAAAGTAAGGTCTACTATACACATTGCAATGTAGCACAATATGGGTAGCCACAGATGTCATTTTCCATTCCCTTGTTTTTGAATGCCAAAAGGGTGCTGGCAAGGTAAAATGGACATAAAAATTCATTGCAATTCTTGAACATGTCCTGCTTGCATTCAAACATGAATTGTTGATAGTTTTTCTATTACTTTGAAAATACTGTGACTTTATGCCATACTGTATGTTTTTGTCCTTTTCTTCTGACAATTTTCCCTGCTCTTTGTTCTTTCCACCTTCTAGAATTTTCTAATCTTCTTAATTCTTCCTTCTTGGAGGTAAGGGCCACTTCCTAGAATTTACCAACATTTTGTAGGCAAGGTTACCTGAGGGCATATGAAGCAAAGGAAAGTCACTTTTAGGCTGGTACTCAAGGAGAAAAGATCAGAAAAAGGAGAGAGACTTCACAGTGTCTGGTGTCTAAAAGACAGGTGAAATTAGAATATTGAAATTCCCAGACTAGTATGTTAGAGCCAGAATATCTGATTGAACAGTCTGAATGTGTGACTGGGTATTGAGATTAAATATACAAAAAACCCCTTAAGAACTGAAGAAAAGGAAGACAGAAGCAAGTATTTTGTGTTTAAGAAGCTTTCATGCGGCTCCTCACAGTAACTGAATGACATTTGTACTACCTGGGTATTCTTTTCTATCCTAATCACCATCTTTGCTGCTTTTCATTTTCTATTTTTTATTTTCTTCTAAGTATAAATTAGTATTAAAAATTAATGTTAAGAAAAATTTTTAGTAATTATTATCGTCTGTTTCTTTTTGTACTAATTGCAATAATTTTTGTAAATTGTTCTACTAATGACTGGATTTTGGGTGATTGTTAGTCAACAACCCCTAGAACTGGAATCTCTCTATATTTGTACATTACCACCACACATAATAAATTCATTTTTATATCTTCTACTTTGCATGTGTCGTTTCTTCTGGGTGTTTGCCCTCATTAGTCAATAAAACCTTTCATAATTATCACAATACTTTCATCCAGCCATATGGCACATAAACAATTGATTTTTGGTTCACTAAACCAAAATCCTTATCACATTCCATGTAACAATACCCTCTTATGGGAAATGTGACTTTTATACTTTTCAGCCAATTTGACTTTGTTATATAATAATGCAATGCCCTCAACACTGTATAATTTCTGTTTTGCCCTTTGAAAGCATTGCAAAAAATTGCAAATCTTTTGCTCTCGTTATTTTATTGTCAAGATTGTTATGATAGTTGTTGGAACAATCATATGGATTATGATCATTCTACAACAACTGCTTTTCTTTACATGGATCTAGAGAGGACAATGATTGTTTTTTTTCACTATATTGACTTTGCCATCACATTCTATATCGTTTAATCTACAGAATAATAACTTCAGTTTACAAATGCATAAAATGGACATTGTTCTTTTTCCGAACTCTTCATATGTAATATGTATAAAATCATCTTACAATGTGACAGATAGTCTAGCATTTAAAGTTTTGTTAATTAATTTACAATTATATATACATATCATTTCAGTACATATATATACATTTCATATCATATTATATATTATGACTTTGTGTATTGTTATTGAATTGATATTTTTATCTATGATTTTTATAATCTCTTAGTCTATTTTTAATTGTTATTGCATCAATGGCTGTTACTCTCATATGTTTTATAATTCATGCTTTTTATTTGTAATTCTTTGCTCATTTTATTATATTTTACCTTTTGTATTGGATTGCCTTTTTGCTCTTGTAATTCTTATGAATAAACATAAAATTGCTTGAGAGAATGAATCATACAGGAACACAACTAAGATGGAAATACAGGCTTTTATTGGTTATTATATTTTACCTTTGTTTGTTTTTTGCAGCTTCCATATCTATTGAAATTTGGAATTTTACATTTAATTTTATGCATATACTGAGTGTCCAAAAGAAATCTACACAAGTTTGTTTGTGTAATGTAGTTTTTATCTTGGAAAAAAGAAAATTTTATGAATTAAATAGTCATTTGAAAGTGATGAAAAGCTATACATTTTCTTTTATTTTTGTAATTTTACAAGTCCCCATTGTCAAACAGTCAGTTCAGATAAGTTCCTGTACAGGACTTTAGTTCACATTTTGCAGACAATACTTTATGCAATTGATCAGCACATCCATATATTTTTTGCTTTCCATCCCTTTTCATAAATGGCTACCTTGAGAATTACCCAAAAATCTTTGATTTCCCTAATTTCTGGCATGTTTGCAGGGTTCTCCTCCTTTCTGACAAAGGTGATGCTTTATTGTCACAGTTAATCCAGTACAGTTTTGATGTCGTGGAAACTTGCTTGATCTAGCCATAAGACGTTTTTTACTTGTGAATAGTTATTCAAATGTAAGTAGTCAGGTGATATATATATTTATTTAAATATTGATGGACATAGATAGCAAAACTTGACTTTTTGATTTGGGCTTAACTCAGTCCTTTTGGTCGCTTTGCAGTCCAAATGAAAACTTTGCTTTCAAATTTATTTTTCTTGGAAAACTTTACATCAGCAGGTATAGAAGAGACATCACCAGCATAAAACCTGCAATTACCATTAATTGTGGAGTTTGAGAGTGAAGTAATTCATCATCAGAAGTGAAAAACTTTTCAGAGAACTTTTGCAATAACTTTCTGCATTTTGTTTTTGCCAGTGATCTTTTTGTGTCTGATTTGTTAAAAAAAATAAGTGCAGAAGAATTGGCTTATTATAATCACTTTGTGACTCATATATAGTGATGATAATAACCAACTGATAACATTAAGTGGGGCTTAATAAATACAATTACAATTAGTAGAAATTTTAGTGTTATAGACTCTGACACTAAAAAAGTGTTAAAACAATTTAAAATATATATAATTTGGACATTGTAGTTATTATTCTTAACAATAACTTATCCAACATGTAATTGAAGCAATAATTGCTAGCAATTTAAACTACTCTGCTGTCTAACATTAATGGTTAATGTTTAACATTTAAAACACTGGATAAGACTGATAAGAATTGCCTGTTATGAGCCAAATGTTGAGGCTAATAGCAAGAAATGACAGCTTAAAATTCCTATTTACTTAAAAATAATGAAAAGTATAACCAAAATTCTGATTATAATAAACTTTATAAGTGTTTTTAACTTACTAGTATATTCAATTAAAATTATTAAAAATACCTAGATTTTGTATGTATACATACATGTATTTTTAATATAATTACCGGTATGTTTTAGAACATGCTAATTTTGATTACATAGATAACTGGTAACTCTGTTCATGATTAGAATGAGTATATTTACTGTGTTAGAATTTCTGATTTTAAGATTAAAGAGAACTACATTGAAATATATGAAATAAGAATTATTTTCTCATGTAGGTTACAGGAACTGCAAGTAAAGAAAAAGAGACATCAGAAGTTTTACAAAATTCAGATTCACATTTATATTTTACAAGTAATGGATATTTTGAAGAGTATAAAACTGTAACAGAATCACTTGGATTATTTGGACTTTTGACAAGACGTAAATTAGTCACTGAAGCCGTGTGTAAGACAAAAGTTGAGGTATTGTGATTATATACAATATAGAGATAAAGATAAACATTTAGAAATTTGAAATATTGTTTAATTTTTTAACAGTTTTTTTTAATAAGTTGAAAGAGAGCCATAAAAATATTTTAATTAAAAATTAATTATTATGTTATCAAAATTTTAAAAATATTTTATATATTGGGTTTATGCAAAAGTTTCTGGAATTTTCTAGAATATTTTCCTACAGATAGTATATAGAAGTTTCTTGTGAGGTATGTAAATGAAGGGTGTTAAGATGAACAATCATAAGTGAGAAGATATTCTGTGCGGTGATACCAACTTTCTAAATATGCCAAGTTTGCCAACACTTTCTTGTGATCCATTTCACACATTTCACTTTACAATTATCAATTTGGTATAAAACCATTGTTATAGGAGATAAAAAAATGTGCCTGTATGTCAAATTAAAGTGTGTTGAAATGAAGTTTTTCACTAATACTAACAAATAGTAGATGAACAAAGAAAACTTTATTTGTTCTATTACGATTATATACAGGTTCACATATATCAGATGCCAGGCAGTCTCAATCTAGACATACGACACACTTAATAATAATTCTTAATGCTAGATACAAAAAACTCACTGAAACAGTTCCGTGCAACAATGATCTATGGGATTGGCGAGAATTCTCAACCTTTACCACGTGGTATGATATGTGTATAATAACAAAAAATAGACTAAAATAAAACCTATGACTAATTATATTACTATAAAATAAGATAGAGGATAGGACAGATTGAGGAAATAGAAAAATGGGTACCCAGTGTTCCGTATTTGGATCTTTATGATGGTCACTTGTGTGTAAGTCTTTCCTTGAAGTCGAAAATATGGGGTTTTTGGCTATTGTCCCTCCAGAAATAATTACTGAGCTCTAATATTTATGTTTCATTCCTTATATCGTCCAATAGTTTTTCAATGATCACCTTCTCAGTATTTTTCACGTCCATCTCTTTCACAGTTTGAATCCCAACTGGTTCATCTCTCCCCCTATTGCTCTCCAGGCTGCATACCCTTCTATTGTTTCACACAGTTCCTTTTGACCATATATGAGAATGAAGTTTGAGTAAGAACATTCCAGGAAGGATAAACGATAGAACAAAGGATGGAAGTTGTGAAGGAGAGAAAGAGAAAAATATAAAGTACGCGTATATTATTACAAATGGCACACAGCCACAAGTGCAAAAGGTCATGCCAAAACTGGAATTACATCAGCAAGAAGTTGTGCTTTGTATTTAGTGGGATGTTTACAAACCACTGTATTGGGAAATGCTTCTATGGAATGCAACTATAAATTCCAAAAAAAACTGTCCTCAGTTGTAATGTTTAGCTGATGCTATCCATACTATTTTATGTAGTTTAATTAGTGTTTATACGTCCTTCGTGATCCACTTAAGATCCCCGCAAGACAGGAATACAGACACTTACTCTCAATGCTTTATTTGGGGTCTTACTTGGACCAGGCGATCTCCACTCTTATACATTAGTCAGGGCCGTCTGTCTTGCACGTCCCTCTCTCTCTCTGATGTTGCCAGATCTTCCTGTAACACATACCTGTAAGTGAACATTGTACACTTCATAATGATATGAGACTAGATGTGCCGAGATTGACCTGGCAGAAGCTGCTTGATCTCAAATAGGATGTTTTCCCTCACCCTCCATATAGCCCAGACATTGCACCATCCAACTACCATTTCTCCATCTCACTCCATGCAACACTTCTTGAATGGAAAGCAGTTTGCCAATGATGAAGAGATGAAAATTGCACTTGCAGAGTTCCTTGAGTCAAAATCTGAGTTTTATTCAACAGAATCTGTGACCTGCCCAAACAATTGAAGAAGGTGTAAAGGCAATTCTTACCTTGAATAAACTATTTTTTGTTTTTGAAATAAATGTTGTACTATAAAAGTCTAGAAAATTCCAGAAATTTCAGACTAAGATTTTAAACAAATGGATAGCTGTTCTTACTGTTAACACAAAACAGAATATTCTTAGATACCATCAGATAGTTTCATTATTATTTATTAATTTTTGAGTACAGTGGTGCCTCATACTTCAAATTTCAAACAACCTCCTGGAATGAATTTATTCCAGGAGGTTGTTTGAACTTTGAATTGTTTGAAGTCCAATGAAATTTTTCCCATTAGAAATAATGGAAAGCAAATTAATCCATTTCCTGATACTAAACAAAACCCATTTTGATAAACTTAAAACAGCAAATACACATAATTTAGAGCAATTAATTGAGTTATTTTTACTTAATAATAATTTAAAACACAAAAGCAATAAATAAAATATATAAATATTGTATAATAAAATGAAAATTGCATTTACTGATCACACACTATCAACTTCACATCCTAAATATTGCAGCCAGAGCCACCATACATGTACTGCTTTCATTCTTCATGATAAGTTCTTTTGTCATCTCAATCATCAATATTATAACTTTTCTCTTAGACTTTGTTGCATTCACACACTTCTTGGATACCATGGTTAATAAGTGAAGGTTATATTGGATTGAACAAAATGTTTTTGCATATTTTTATCTGCTGTCATTACTTAACCCATAGATGTGTGATTTAATTATAATGGTTGTGAAATTTAACACATTATTGTATTCTTTGTTCAGAAGCTTATTTTACAATTTCAGTGCATTTTTCGCTGTGCACACAGTTCAAACTTCAAAGTAAATTTTTGTCAAATTTAGTATTTGAAGTTAGAGTTGTTTGAAGTATGAGGTACCACTGTATTTATCTTATAGATGATAGTTATTAAATGATAAACTGTTATTATTTTTGTAGAAAAAGAAATACTTTGACCATCTCTTTCATTATAAGTTTTTTTAATGAACTTATACATACTAAAAATAATGTTTTGTAACATATTTTATTTCACTATGTGAAAATCTAGAATGAAATAAAATTAATAAATTAATTAACAAATATTTTCTCTCTTGTTAAATTGAAACTAAAATGAAACTGGAAACACGAAATAATCTAAAGAGAAGATACAGGTAATATCAGTGGTTCAGGTTGCAAGAAATCCAGATGTTGTCAGATCCTGGGTAATCTACATGATATTTATACGTAGGCTGTTTTTTTTCAAACCCCGATGGTCCATAAAAAAAAACAAGTGTAAATAACAAAATGAATTTATTACGAAAAGTTAGGTACAAACATGGTTACTTTTCGACTTAATCACCATGAAGATTGAGGCATTTGTCATAATTATGGACAAGCTTTTCCATCCCCTTGTCATAGAATGTTGCCGCTAATGACTTGAGATGGACCTTAACGTTTTTTTGAGGATCGTCATTAGCCTCAAACCTCTGCCCTCCTAGCCACTTTTCCTGTTCAGGAAAGGAGTAGAAGTCACTCAGCACTAAATTGGGGCTATACGCTGGGTGTTTAAAGGTGGTGAAGAGTTCCACCTTTCAGACTTCCATCAAGCTTAAATCTTTTTAATGTGTGAAGACTTCTACCTCTTTCCTGAACTGAAAACATGGCTAGCAAGACAGGTTTGAGACTAATGACAATCTTTCAAAACAACGTTGTTAAGGCCATCTCAATTCACTGGTGGCAACATTCTATAACAAGGGGATGGAAAAGCTCATCCACAGATATGACAAATCCCTCAATCTTCACGGCAATTATGTTGAAAAGTAACCATGTTTGTACCTAACATTTGGTAATAAATTCATTTTGTTATTTATACTTGTCTTTGTTTTATGGACCATCGGAGCTTGAAAAAAAAACCTGCCCTCATATATCATTCAAATATAGGTTAGTGTCAATAAATTTTGAAACCAAGCAAAAATTCAAAATTTAATTAATTGGCAGCCATATCACATTAAAACTTTATTGTTGCATCATATAAAATTCTGTATATTGTAGCACTTCGTGGCTATGATTGTATTATATTTTTTTCTTTTTTTTTTTTTTTTTTTGTTTTCCGTTTATGTCGCGTCGCGCATATAATTTGTACCGTTTCTCTTCGTTTCCTTCCTCGGTGCCTCCTGTTAGCCGATGGCTAAGTTTCCGGCGTCTGATTGGTCCGTGACAGTGTGACGTATTGGAGGGAGTTATAAAAGCGGGTGTAAGGAGTAAGAAAAGGACTCTTGGACTTTTTCGAGAAAGAAAGGGAGAGAACCGCATACAAAAAGAGAGAGAAGAGCGACCGAGAAGAGAGTGGACCGTTGGTAGAAGAAAGGAAGTTGCGACTCGAAAAGAAGAAGATTCCCCATCGAAGCCCACAATCGGACCGCTACGACAGAACCCTTGCAAGTCCCTTAGGTACTCCGTCCACAATATTTTTATTTTCGGATCTATATTTAATTGTCAAAAAAAAACGGGGCCTCGCGTGAGGAAGGTTAACGGAAAGGGGAACATCAGGCTATTTCGTTATTTGTTACAATATCTGTCGGGTGTTGGACTGTTTATTGAGATATATATTGTACCGCGTTTTTCTTTTACTAAAATAAACCTGATCACACGTGTCTACCGATTTTTCATTGTCCTTCCCTTTGTTCTTTCTATCGTATATCTGTAACCGCAGACCACGTGCCTTGCGGAGTTCACAATATTATTGTCATGCATCAAATGTAGTTTTCAATATATAAGTATTACATGAATGATTAATATTTTGATTTTTGTAAATAAATGAACCAGGTGTAATCCTATTTCACATAATTCACCATTCACAAATACCATTCATTAATACAACTATAACAGTACCTTGGAACTTGAATGCCTCAGAGGTTGAACAATTTGTAATCTGAACATTTTTTCAAGGAAATTTTGCCCCAAAAGTTGAACTTTTCTTGGAACTCAAACACAAACAAAGACAGCCATACTGGATGGATTGTGTATGATATCTATGAGTATGAATGATGTGGCATGTTGCCAGATTGATTTAATTTTTATTTTGGGCTAATATAATAAAATCCATTACTTATCTAAATCTATTGATACAAGTTTGGGACATATGTTAAATAACCCAGCCACATTTAGTTCATCTCCTGCTCTTGTTAGAAAAGCATACTCAACACAATTTGTGTTTTTATTCACTGTTTTGTTTGTTTTGGTGTTTTTTTAATAATGTGTATTCATCATGGTGCCTAAGAAGAGTGTTGAGGCTATGAGACCTCAGAGAAAGCTTGAAAGTGCAACAGTTGTAAAAACAGAACTCATCACTAAGCATGAGAGTGATGTGTGTATCTGATTTCATGATCAAGTTTGGGATGCCAAAACCAACTGTCTGTACGATTCTAAAGCAAAAAGAATCATTAAAATCAATTATAATATAGTATTTTCATTTTATTGCATTATTTACTTTTTCATTGTTTTTAATCTATTATTATTATTTTTGTTGTTTTAGACATTAATTAGGCATTTACTTATGTTATTTTAGCTTAAATTATTTTTTAGAATTAAAATGGATATTTTTTGAGGTTGGGAATAGATTAATTCATTTTACATTATTCTTTATAGAAAAAATTGCTTTGGAACTTGAATGCCCTCTAGGAATGAATTGGATTCGAATTCCAAGCTATCACTATACCTATTTGATTATTTATTTTTGTTAATACTTTATGATAAGTTAGTTATATATGCATATAACTTAGTTAATTTAAACCTGAAAAGTTTTAAAGAATTATTAAAAAATTACTATTGAGTTACTTTTGTTTGTTTGTATAAATTAATTAACAAATCACTTGTATATTTTAAAAATATATATTCTTTTAGGCTGCTTTTATTCCAATGAAGAAATTTGTTAATGCTGCCATACACTTCAAAGATCAGCCAAATCTGTTATACAATATTTGGAAAAGTGAATCCTTAAAGATAGCAGTGCAAATACTACAACAACAACCACCATATTGGGTAACATATTGTTTCTGTTACATATAATATTATAAAATAAAACCTGTTCAAAATGGAAACCTGCCTAAATGGAAAAAATTCTTTGGAACAGAGAAATTTTCTATGTTAATTTTTACTACATGTATTACATGTTGAGGAATTCTACTTTACTTTTTATAAAACCTATCTGGCAACCTGTGAGGTTGTCCCCTGACACATTCTGTTTACCTGCAGTTTATTTATATTATTATTATTAGTTATTAATTAATGAAAATAGAATTTTGTATACATAGCAGTATTCTGTTTGCTTAATAAATTACATCAATTACATGGCATTTGACATATTATACAGAAATATAAATATAAATAGGATAATTCGAAGTCACTATTATTTCATCCCTTAAATTTTGAACTAATGAGGATTTCCTATACTATGTAATTCTGGTTTACATAAGTTTAACTGTACAAGTTTGTTATTGATAAAATCTTTATAAGTTAACAGCATACACTTATTATATTTCTATTTATAAAAATCGTTGATGTTAATTTGTCTAATTATAAATGTAAAATCAATTCTAATATAAATTTTAGTTTTAATTATTTTTAATCTTTTTCATTTTATAATTAATTTAATTTTTATATTAATATTTATAAAAATGTTTCAAATATATGTATAAAATCACATACCTTTTAGGATTATTCAGAAGAAAAACTGATGAAACTTTTACAAGATGCTGCTTTACCAGATTTTCGTGATTATGATGAATTTATAAGACCAGAATTTGTTCTAGATGTTGTTTTGATTCAAGGAAAAATTATAAATAATGATGATGATGAGGAATATTATGGACCAGTGTATATTCCTCGTTATGTTTCACATTTTATCTTTACAGTAAGTTTTAATGTACTGTGCACTTTCTTAATTTGTATTAGATTAAAAGCTTAATATTATCTGAATTAGTTGAAGCTTTTTACAATAAATATTAAATAATTATTATTTATTATATAATTCAAAACAATTCAATTACTTTACAGAATAAAAAAGAAAGATTTTCTCGTTTAGTAGTATTATTTTTGGCTCCAACAAATAAAAATGTAAATATGCAGTTTGATTGGATGCAACAGATAGAAGACAGAGAAATGAAATTGGAAAGTGCTTCTTTTGTATGTATATTTTTTATTTTTACCTGTTAAATTATTTGATTNGGGGAAAATGCAATCAGACTTTTAATGCAACGAAAGTTTATAAACAAAATAAAAAAAATTACACGATTAAATTCTATAATACAGTATTTTAAAAATTTATGTTCTGTCTATCATATTTAATGTAAAATTTAAATAATTCGTTACGGTTTTAAGCTCAAATCCTAAGGGGGAAAATGCAATCAGACTTTTAATGCAACGATAAAATATTAACAAAATAAAAAAAATTACATGAATACTTAATTATCTCAGACTACCAATTGGTGAAGATATATGTGGTTTATCAAATTGTATATCTCCACCAATTACTAGTTTGAGATACTTAAGTAATTCATTTCAGATGTGAAATGATAGAGCAAAATGTAGACAATGGAATAAAATGACAAAGAAATTTATTACTTGCTAGTTGCAAAACAGGATGCTTTTAGGATGCCAACTAATATCTCTTCCACTAAATAATACACAATAATACTCACACGAAAAATGACACAAGATCGATTCCCAACAATAAAATTCACGTGGCGATCTCTACCTGAATCAATCGTCTAATTGTCTAGAATTATACATAACTTACAACTAAGAGCTTACGACTACTTATAACTAATAAAAATAAGATAATTAATTAGAAAAACTGAAGAATGAGAACAGGGAATAGGAAAGAGGGTACCCAAAATCTGTTGCAATGTTCTATTTGCCATTGGTATGCTGGGATCAGATTTCTTCCTGGGATGATGACTGGGTTCAATTCTCTCTCTGAGATTAGTTGTCCACATACAAAGAAGGAGGGTTAAACAAGAACATTCCAGAAAGATTAGACAATAGGAAAGATAGAAAGGGGGACAGGGAACAAACAATTTTAAAGTAATATACATTTATACAAAAATATACATTGGAAATATGGTGTGTAGCCACACAGACAAGAAGCTTACAATTACAGGTATCCTTCGTACTACACAGTACTTCTACAACACGGTTTGGTTCTAACATGGGTGATATCACCCATACAACACAACTTTTGGTTTCATTCTAACACAGTTTTGGAAATCCTCCATACAAAATTTCACAATTTTTAAGTGTAAACTTTGTTATTTGATTTTTTTTTTTTTTAAAGTAAGTATGAGGTACAAGACAGAAGCTGTTTTGAAGGTCCAAAGGTGACCACTCTATCAAGAAATAAAGAGCTCCATTTTCAGACATGAATAGGGAGAATTTAATGTCCTGATTGAACAATGAAAGTTTTTATTAAAACAATGGGAAAGACTAAAGTCGAGAGAAATGTGGCTGGAGAGGAGTCATATTTAGTTGCAAAACTGATCTCTCCCGTGCCCTTTGATCGGTTTTGAATTATTTACCAGGTGATGAGTAGAGACCAACGAAAAGGTGGCTTTAGGGAAAAAACTTTTAAAATTGTGCGATTTAAGGACGTGACATTCTTGATTCATAGTGCTCCTTTCCTGGATTTTTGTGATCCGGCCATTCACCCATGAAAGCTTGTTCGACATTCGGGGATTTGTCTTCGCTCTCCCATGCCGTCAAGATTTGCCCAGGTCCACCTAGTTGCAAGAAGACATCTCTCCAAGTCATCTGTGTGCTTCAGGGCCAGCGCTCTTCACACCACCATCGCCAGAAAAAGAAAAATGACAGTCAGAACATTTGGACTTTTTGTACGGACTTGTTTCCCACCTTTGGAGAGATGTTATGCCTTATTATAGGAATTGTTGTAAGAGAAATTTTTATATTTATTAAGCGGTTTAAGATGGAAGACCTGCCTCAGTGAGTCTTTCCACTCCCACACAACAGTGTTGACCGTTCGATTGTCCTGACATTTCCACTCCAGTCGGCTAACCTCACATAAGCACACATGTTGTCTCAAATTTGCCCATACATTTTAGAATATTGAAATTTTCAATTTGTCTTGTGCCTTTCATCAGGTTTACTTTAATGAAAACTGATAGTAGAATTTTTTTCTTCCTTGCCCTAGCTTTCCTATCAACCAGGTGTTGTTGTTGTTGATTTCAGACTTTAGCCCTTAAGACTATCACTGTGTTTTGTTTTTATAGATTAATCTTTGTATTTAAACATTTTTAGGTAAGTAACATTTTTTTAATCGTAGGTGAGTAATCATTTGTAAAAATGACGAATGGAATACAGTGGTATCTCAGTATTTGAACTAATCCCAACTGCAACAATTCAGTATTCGAACACAAATTCTGGAAAAATCACTTGGTACTCAAAAGAACAAATTATTGATTAATAACATATTTTTATTCTGTCATACATAAAAATTTTTTATGATAAAAACAAAAAAATGATGTTACTGGTATCTCTTAGCAAAATGAACAAAAAAGCTCAGATGACAATACTTTAAAAAAGAAAATGCCCTCGTTTAACTAAAATTAATATTAACAGTACTTTTAATTGTGCTTGTTAGTTAATTATTGATTGGAAATATTTCTCTTAGTAATGAAAAAGAATAGTAGACTTTTGTTAACTTTTGGAACCTAACCTCATGTTTTGCATTAATCTTTTGTTTCATGTAGCACGGATTCGCATAACATAACACTTTTTCAGAACATATCTACCATGTTATACGAAGGATACCTGTATATACATACATACTATATACTATAAAAAGACAAAACTAATTCTTTTTAACTTTTGAAAGTATTCTTGTGTCCAGTATCTGTGTATATACATGATAATGGGCAAAAGAATCTATTCTATTAGAATGAATTGTTTTATTTCTGAAGTAATGAATATATAATTCTATCTTTACTTGTGTATAATTGTTTAAAAAATTGTTTTGGATCCTTGTTAATATTTGGAAAATCAACACTTGCATATTAACAGATTTTATCTCAGATATTTCCTTTCACTTATGAAAGATAAACATCTTTAACATGTAGAAAATTTGGTATATGAGTGTAATATGTAAATAAAAATTTCCATGACAGAATATGGATTCATTTATGCCAAGAAAAATCATTTAAAACAATTTCTAATATATAACATAAAAATATTCTGCTTTACTGGAGATTATTTTAATAATAAGTTTTTCTCAAGTATTTTTGGATTTATGCAGTCTCTGATGATGGGCTTGGTTGCTTAAAAGCATTTCAGATAAAATTATTAAAGTGAACCCCAGTAATGCAGACTAGTGTTTGTTATATTTTTTAAGTTGATTTATCTTGATATTAACTGTTTCCTGTTAATGAGATGAAAATTTATTTTGCTTTTATTAATTTACAGAAAATGAGTATAAAAGATCAAAGATTAATAGAATCAATGCAGGATATTGATGAAGAAACTTCCTTAAATGAATTAAATGATTATTATGATAATTTTCGAACNATTTTTATATAATATATATTCTTATATATTATAAAATAAAATATTATGTAATAAAGGTAAAATGCTTATTATTTTAATACTATGTAATTTATAATAATATATTAAATTTGTAAATGATAATAAATTATACAAAAAATTGAAATAGTCTGTAGATATGAAACTAACAACTTTATTTTAATGCCAAAAATAATATATGTAGCCTTATATATATACATTTCTAATTGCCACTTTGTAACATAGTACTGTATCCCACAAAACTACAAAAAAGAGTTATAACCAAGGCTATAGTGGAGTTTGAGTTGAAGTCAGAAACAATTTTGGGTAGAATTGACATCAGAGCTGATAAAAAATATTGACTCTAACCTTGATACAGAATGTAAAATCATAAGAAATTACAATTTTAAGATTTTTAAACTGTTAATTTCTTTTGGTATTAAGTATATAATGCCTGTTCTTAATATTACCATTATAACTAATGTTGAATTTTTGTTATTGTACTTTTTAATATCATTAATTAAATATAGGAAATAAATGAAAAGCCATAAAGGTATAGCTACAAATAACCATTCAATTGTAGCTGTACCTGTAGTAGTGTCACAGTGTGGCAACACTTCTTCCCACAGTAGTTAGTCTCTTGGACTGGCAGAACTGTTTCTCATTGCATTTGAATTTGTAACAGTTGTGCATTTTAGACAAGAATAAAACCTTTTGTTAAGGTAACGTCTTTGTCTCTTTATACTACAATACCTTTAGGTTAATATAACCAAATTTAGGTTATCAGTCTAAAAATATCCTGATGATTCATGTGGTGATGAAATGCCTTATTATATCATTATCATTTTAATAGGTTTATTATGTTAATATTTAAATACTAAACTTTTATGAAAGAGCCAAAGTTGGAGATTTTAATGTACCAACTCCACAGTCCTGGTTATGGCAGACAACTGTCAGATCAATTGAAGTAAAATATACTAATAGAATGTAGCATAATAATAGAATTGTTATAAAGAATGCAAAAAAATAACAATTATAGTCTTTTTGAATAGGGTTGTGTAATGAATTTAGATGGAAGAATAATTGTAAAATATGCCACAGGACACCTTGGGACCTTTATGCATTGACTCTAAAACACCTAGCCGTATGCATTGTCAACAAAGAAGGCTATATCTCTTTCTGAAAATATTTATTGTGTTCTTTAATTAAAGCACTTCTTAACACTTTTTGATTGATATTTTCCAATTAAATTTAATTTATTTCAATGCCAAATAGATTTAGAATTGTAATACAGCTTGATATTCAAAGAATGTGTGAAGTAAATGTCTTTATGCAGATTATTAACAATATTGTACTTGTGTTAATAATTAGATTTTCAGCCCCTCACTAGGTTGAAGGTTCTATACTGTATCTACTTTTACCAAGAGAGAGAGGATTACCATAATTTCTTACCTCTATAATCTGTGTTGGAATATAATCAACAAGTGCAAGTTTTCATTGACAAAAAAAAGTATACTGTTCTGTAATTTGTGAAAGTTTGTGTTATCATTAATTTGCTCTCTTGGTTTATCAGCAAATAAATAATTCAATTTTAAGAATATTTAATAATTAAAAAGAATCCTCAAATTCAGGAAAGAAATTAACAATTCATTTTAATATAATATATGAAAGTTTAAAATCCAGAATTATAAAATATAATCATTCCCTGATTTACAACTGTTGATTTATGATGGCCAAAACTGGTGTATTAGAAAAATCATTTTAAAATCCAAACAATTACTTGTCACTTATGGCATGGTATAACAATTAAATGTTAAGTGTAGGGATTCAAACCACAAGAAAAGAACAGTTCAGTTCTTTATGGATTCTGTAGCATTTCCATTCCAGTTTCTGTTCTGGTTTGCTTTGTCTGATGTGCAAAGAACCAGTAACTGGTCCAATAGGTAGCAGTTTAGTTACCATGTCAGTTAATAAAAAGTTTTTGGTCATAAAATATAAATTTGAAAATAATAACATTAATCAGCAATAAATATTTTAGGAAAAAAGAATAAAATATAAATTTAAAATAATCACATTATTGTGTGTTGTTAGAGATTCTATCAAAACTTTTACCAAATAAAAGGACCAACCAAATACAGTAAGACCTCACTTAATGCGGGGATGCGTTCCTAGATGACAAAGTGCTAAACAAAACAGTGTTAAACGAGGTCATTTTAACATAAAGTAAATAGGGATAGGGAAACACAACCGAAAATAAAAAAATTTTTACTTTAATTTTAAGTTATTTTTATATTAACTTGTATGATAATATGTTAAATAACACATAAACATATGCACACAGAAATGTATAATAATATATTTAGTTCATTTTTTGTGATGAAGATCCTGACTTTTTTGAAATTATTGTTTTATGTGATAAAGTTTTCTAGTTTCACATGTTACTTTTTTTCTGTTTCCTTAAGCAAATGTCAGTAGCAGAAGATCGCATCCAAAATGCCTCATTTTACTTTTGCACTCCTTTCAAAATCTGGATCATTCGCTACAATTTGATCAACGATTTCAGTTATTATTACCAAACTCTTACTAAGGAATCTGTAGAGAAATTTTTTTGGGTTCTTCATTTTCAGAATCACTATTTTCCAGTTCTAAATGGATTCCTTGTTCTGCCAGTTCTTGAAGGTCGTTGTTGATAAGACTCTCACCAGAAACCTGTGGTAATTCCTCAATATCCTGTTCGTCTATATCTCCTAGTCCTGCTGTATCAATTAGCTTGAGTTTGGTCAACCTAACAATACAGCGATAGCCTCTTCTCATCGAGAATTCTTGGATACCTACAGCCATAACTTCTTCCACACTTCATTCTTCCATTTATCAGTTAATTCTTGCCAAGCAAAGTTGATATGATATATAACATCACGGATGCCATATGCATCCATGATGTTATATATCATAATTTTTTCCAAAATTGCACCAAATAAACATAGATTTAAAGAAAGTACATTTTTTTGCCACCTTTTTCTGATTGGTTTGTGTTTGAAAATAATCGTATTATATATGAATCAATGAAATGCTGCGATAATTTAAATTGGCATAAATTTTGAGCTTTTTTTTTAAGGCTTCAAGCAGAAAGTGTTAAGTGAGGCAGCATTAAACGGGGCTTACTGTATTTATTAAATAATTTAAGATAGATGACAGTATGACTCAATTGTTATCAGGAGAAGTATTATGTACAGCGTTAGGAAAGAGACAGGGCCGAACTCGGAGGTATAGCCCGTGGTAAGAAGGAAGTGGAGATAGGGTAGAAGAAGTTGAGAGTATGGAGGGGCTGAAGGAGGGGGTAAGTGTGATAGGATAGTGGGAAGTGAGGGAAGGTTGGTCACGGGACCCATTGGCGCCTTGCATCGCCTATATTTAAAAGAAAATTAATACAGTGTGGACAATAAACAACACAAATGAAAAGGCGCGACAATGTAAACATGTATAACAGATTACAAGCAAAGCTATTAAACAAATTAACTTCAGTTAGCAGGAGTACATTAACAGAGGAAACAGATGAAGCTGTTTGGTGTAAAACATAAAACCGCGGAACATATAGAACAGCTTATCCAATTTATTACAGAATGAACCATTAAAACAATATACTCTAGATTACACAGTTGACACATACAGAGAGAGGAGACGATGAACTTCTAGATGGTCAGTTGAGGGTGATCATAGATTGCAGAGTGGGACTAGTCGAGCTTCCTGATACCTGTAGCAAATCTTTTTATCGCTGAAAAGTTTTTCTTGTCAGAAATCAAGTCCTTAAGCATACAGGGCCAGTGGAAGCCGTTGTCCTTGATGGTACGAATTAACTCCTTGCGTTGCGTAGAGTAGTGTGGGCAGAAGAAGATTATGTGCTCAGGATCTTCCTCCTCCTTCAAATCGCAGTCACAGAGCCCGTCCGTTTTATTGAGAAACCTTTTTAGGTACGTGTTCAGGTTTCCGTGACCAGTTAGGAGCTGTGTCAACTGAAATGTGGGATATCTTGGATGAAGCATGCTGTCAGTGGGGCAAGGAAGGAAGCAGTGGGTAAGCCTCCCAGTAGAACCGTTGTCCCACCTGACTTGCCAAGTCTTTAGAATGATGTTGTGGATGAGATTGTTCAAATGCTTACTACTTATCTTGTTGTAGGTGCAGCTATTAGATTTTGCGGATGCACAACGAGCGAGAAGATCAGCCCTATCATTCCCCGCACTCCCTGAATGACCTTTAATCCAGTGAAAGTAGACGTTGATGTTTCCTTTCTTCAGGGCTTGAAGATTGCCAAGACATTTCTTCACAATGGGTAGAGTGGTGTTTATTTTGGCGATCTGTTGAAGCGCAATGCGACTGTCGGTATAGATTCTGAAGTTGTGGTTAGTCCGGTTATGATTCGTGTTGGAGATCCAATCGATGGCATTACTGATGGCCAAAGACTCCGCTTGATTAATGGTGCAATGCGGAGCCAACTTCCTGTACATCTGATAAAGACAGACTTTGCCTTTGTAAGCCACAAAGGCACTCCCAACACCTTGGTCTGTTTTGGATCCGTCGGTGAAGATACAAATGTCCTGATCGTCACTGTTGCTTGTCTCGAGGGATACAGAAGGAGTAAAGCTTGGGTGAATAGGATTAGGTGAACATTTATCAAAGCCATTTGTGGCAATAGTGGCCGCTAAAGAAATTAGATCCTGTGCGAACTCTTCCTTACCAACAATGGCATTGAAATGGTCTTGGTTGATTTGGTTGTTAGCCAGTTTAATTAAGTTGAATCTGATGAGGATCTCTCTAATTTTGATGTCTATGGGGGGAGTTCGGTTGATTACCAGTAAGGCCTCAGTAGGGGCAGTCTTGTATGCCTTAGCGATGTTAATGGCCATTATTCTTTGGATCGAAAGTAATTTTCTTTTGATATGGACCCTTGTCACTGATGTACCCCAAATTTCTGCCCCATATGTCACAATAGGTTCAATTACAGCAGTGTATAAAATTCTGCT